ACTCTAGAGGTCCCACTTGTATGTATAATAGTAAAAATGTGTATAATTATTATTTCTATATTCACTCATATATGTATATATATATTTATATATATATATATATATGGGTGTGTGCGTGTGTGATGTATATTTGTATATATATATATATATATATATATATATATATATATATATATTTCTTCTCAATTTCAAATAACCACAATGGTTGACACAATTCATTTCCTGTAAATTTTTCAAGTACTCAAATGTATCTATACTTTTATTGATTTTGCAGCGTTCAAAATGGCTTTCAGTACACTTTTGCAAACTGTAGTACTTGTTGCATGTTGCAACCCGTATTGTATGTTGCATGTCACGAAACATTTAGTTGATAGTGATTGTACGACCGAACCACTCGTTCTCGGCAAGCTTATCGGTATCACCGCCTGATACGACAATACTGTATATACCAGAGTCGGAATCGTCATACACAGCCAGATTACCTTCGAAAATACTATCGCCATCGAGCTGCACCTGGCCTTCCATCTGGGTTTCAGTCCACAAACTCCAAACTCCACCAACAGTAGATGCTACATTGTTCTGGAAGATTCCATCCAAGTACATCTTACTGCCTGATCTGTGCATGTTAGTGGCAATGGCGCCTCCGCGTCCCTGGGCTGTGTTTCCGACGAATGAACCGCTGAAAAGTACTGAACCCTCACTTTCGATCTCTAGCACACGGAAAGCGCCGGCTCTCGAACCATAGCCATCATCAATAGCTTTGTTCTCATTGAAGTAGCCATCAACAACCATGTTACCGAGCACACCCTGTACATTAACAGCCCCCCCCTGATTGGCGGAATTGTTCTCAAACGCAGCTGTGAACGTCACATCTCCCTCCATGTAATCTAGATAAATTGCACCACCCCCGCTGTGCAACGATGCATCGGGATAGAATGCGCTGTTATCTTTGAAATAACCAGCGATGTTGATCTCACTTCCCTTGGGTAGGTAGACAACGGCGATAGCGGCTCCACCTGCATACATATCCATCTCTGATGTGCTCATTTTCAAGTCGGTGAACACACAGTCGTCGTCAATAGACAATCCATTCGAGGATCCAATGAAGATACCTACACCAGGTCTTTGACTGTACATGTCATGAATCCACACGTTGGTTAAACTCATAGCTACTACCTGGTCAGGTGCTCCGTTGACACTTCCGAGAGAGTGGAACGCGGCGGCAGAGTTATCGCCCTCGCTAGTAATAGCTAAGTGCAAAAAGTTTACTTCCTGAGAATCCTCGTTCACAGCTTCAAAGATAGCGCCATCGACCTCATCGAAGGTAGCGATGATCTGAGCACGGTCATTGTCACAGAGAACACCACTGAAAGACAGACTTTGCTCAAAAGCGATAGGTGCATCGACCTCAATTTCGCCACCAACGTAGATTGTGTCCCCATCAGAAGCAGCTCGAATAGCTTCCTTGAGAGATGAGTAACATTTCTGGTTCAGCACTACCCCATCACATTCACATGCCCCTACTGTATCAGGAGGTATTTGAACTCCAGATTCTGTGCAGCAGTAATCAGTTTTACAACTGCGAAGATCTCCGCATGCTCCAGGATATTCACAGCAATCTTTGTTGCTATCCATCTCGTATCCATTTGAGCATTGAAGTCCGAGTTTTTCTTTACACTTAATAGTGAAATCCTCAGGTTTAGCCGATGGCGATGGTTTAGGGTAATTGGAATCGCTAGTACAGCAGTAGCTCTCAGTACATTTACTCAAATCACCACATTCTTTAGACCATCGGCAACATTCCTTGTGAGTGTCAACCTCTTCACCACCGCTACATTTGAATCCACCCTCAGATTTCTTCACAGCACAGTTGATATAGTTATCGACCGGCTCGTAACTAGGTGTACTGGAAGGTTCCGGATGAGGTGTCGAAGTAGCAGTACCTTTGCAACAGTATGAGGGAGTACACTTGCGTAGCCCATTGCAATTCGAACTATATCGACAACACACCTTGTCGTCCTGTGCCACGTCACAACCCAACGGGCTTTCGACGTCCTTTGCCGCACAAGTGATGTAGTCACTATCAAGATTTGGGGGCAATGGTGTGTTGGTTGTTTCGGGTGCTGCTTCCGTGCAACAATACGAGGAAGTACACTTGTTCAATCCATTGCAATTCGAACTATACCTGCAACACTCCTTGTCTTCCTGTAGCACGTCACAGCCCAACGGGCTTTCGACATCCTTTACCGCACAAGTGATGTAGTCACTGTCGAGAATTGGGGGCATTGGTGTAATGGTCTCTGTTTCACTCGTTACGGGTGAAGGAGGTGGTGTATCAGAGACAACGGGGCCCGCTGACCCCGTGCAACAGTACGAGGGAGTACACTTGTTCAATCCATTACAATTCGAACTATACCGACAACACTCCTTGTCATCCTGTACCACGGCACAGCCCAACGGGCTTTCAACGTCCTTCACCGCACAAGTGATGTAGTCACTTCCGAGGATTGGGGCTACGGGTACCGCCGTGGGTGATGGATCTGCAACGATGGGCTGCACTACGGGCTGCTCTGCGGGCTGCATGCCACCTTGCGCCATCACAGTGGCAGCAACGGTTATGAACGTTGCGAGTGTTTTGAATTTCAACATAATTGTGGTTTAGTAATCTAGTAGATTGTATTACACTTGATTCGATATGATACTTGCAAGTGGAGTGATACAAGCTTAAATAAGGCGAGCAGCGATGCGCGTATTGTATCCGGTTGTCCAAGAAACGCTCTTTTTCCTGAATATATGCTCTGAACGACTTTCGAAATTCGATGTAGTGAAATGTGCACAGACTCTAAAATTGGAGTCACAAGTCAACTGTGCTCGGGAATAGGGCAATTTGCATGGCCTTGTCCAATTTTAAATTTATAAGGCTATGCAATTTTATGTGCATAAATTTGTACGCAATAATAACGTGGCTCGTCGCTCTCTCGGATCGTGTGCCGTAAGGCGTAAGGCTGTAGGCCCGTAGCCCGTAGATCAGTCTTCAGATTGATTTTTTACTAAAAATATAATATAATATAGTGCAATCAGTGCATAGTACTAAAAAATGTGTCAATGACTGACGAGAGTGATAGATTCTGATTTCCTGAAGCAGCTCCCTACTCCAACACAGAGTAATTAACTAATATATATATATTTATATCATATATATATATCGATGTTTTTTTAATAAAAAACATGTGACTATCATAGCCTTCTTCTAAATTAAAAATCATGACTGTGCGACTCTTTTTTCAAAGTCTGAAGGCTTGGTGCCCTGGGCGGATGGCTGGGCCACTGGGCCCTGGCCCTGGCTCGTGACCCTGGCGACTGGACCCACAGCCTCGAGGCCCTGCGCCTCTCCATAGCAGTATAACCTTCTATTAAAATTGAAACAGGGGCAGATGTCAGTTTTGGCATATTGCTGCAACTGTTGACCACGGCCCCACGAGCCCTGGGCTTGGGGCTTAGGCTGGCTGGGGACCTGGGCTGGCTATCGGCTGGTTCCGTTTCAGATCGGCCGGAAACTGGAAAGTAGAGAAATTGTAAATAAATACGACAAGCCCTAACAAAAAGTACGCTTTTATGTCTTTTATTATTAAAAAAAAACAGTGTTATTTTTAGGTCTCTGCAACTCTTGTGGTATTTTATTTATTTAGTTCCATGACACGATTTCCCTCTCGACGACTCGACGGCTCATTTTGTTTTCTAAAACAATTGTGCCGAACCCACAATAAAATAAATAGGACTATCTAAGCCTAAGGTAATTGTTATTTATCACATCCAAAATATTACGTACACACAAACACACATACATGAGTCAGGAGTCAGCACTGGGCCCCGGGGGCGCCCGCCACAATTAATAAAAACGCTGAAGGCCTGAAGACTGATGTTGTAATAAAAACGTTAAATATTTAAAAATGACAGGCTATGTCTATTGTCTGCTATGAAGGCTATGCTATGTATTTAGTATGTTACAAATACATATATATGTGGTCTGTAAAAACTGAAAACTGAAAACGCCAATTGAGTGTGAGGACTGACGTGAGAGTGAGGACTGAGGAGTCATATGAGGACTGTAAACTGTAAAGTCAAAGGTGTGAGGTCATGAGAAGTAAATAGAAAAAGGCGCCTCTCTCTCTTTCTAGTTTCTCAGAGAGCATTTCAATTTTGAAGTTTCAAATTTGAGCCTTTGAAAGTTTGACCCCGGATTCCGTTTGACAAGGACCATTATATTTATGTATTTACGAGTAATTTTTTTTTAAATATTTATCACTGTCAGTACTCAGTAGTCAGTACTCGCCCTTTTAATTTTAGACGGCTATGCAGTCGTGCAGAGCAACAAAAAGTTTAAAATATATAAATACACATACGTACATAGTCATTTTTAGAAAGAAACGTAATGATTTAAAAACCCCAGAGTCTATCAGTCTGGCACGTGGCAGTTCCCGCCTCACAGGGCCAGTCACCAGAGTCCGAGTCACTCTGAGTCCCATATCTTGATAACTCCACAGCGACAGAGTTGAAGTCCCATGACCACTTTTCGGGATTGTCCAGTTATATTGTCGCTGGCCCTAGAAATTCAAAGTCCAGACTCCAGACTCCAGACTCCAGTGTCACTCTTGTGCGACTTGAAGCCTGAACCTATATATATACATTTAAAAACAATACATACAGAATTGTAGACTTCTTGAAATCTGCTTGAATACTTGCCTGTTACCTGAATCCAGCAGTCTCTCTGACATTTGGTGACTTGGGTGACTTCACTTGACAGTTGCCACTTGACACTAACCGACTAACTCTCTCTCTTTACTGGTAAAAAGAAAAAAGTTGGACGGCACTCTATTTATAATACGCGACTGCACCATATGTATTATTTATCATAAAAATACTATATATATATAAATAGAATTTTTTTAAATATATGTAAATATGTAAATGGAGTACTCTAGAAGAGACTAGAGAGTTGTAAACTATTTTTAAAAAGAAAAAAGATTGATACTAAACATTGAATACTAATAACAAATAGTGTTCGGAGAGTCGATACTCGAGTCCAGAATTGAATCCAGACTTAGACAGTTGAGAGTCTCCAGTCTCCATTCTCCAGTGACCACTGAGCAAACTCCAAGTCTCCAAGTTCCAACTCTCTCCACTCTCCAGTCTCCCCTCTAGTGAATCCAGACTTCAGACTTCAGACTCCAGTACACTCTGAGTCTGGGCCCTCTGGGGACTGAGGCCCGAATTCGGGATTCAACGACTTCTCTTTTATTTCTTCTTTTTTTTTTAAACCAGAAGGCTATGTTTTTTAACATACATACATGTGTATTTTTTTCTCTTTTTGTGTTCAATTTAGAAGGCCATGTCTTGAACTCGTTTCTTTTCCATTTTTGTATAGAGGGTTTAGGCTTTAGGGGTCATGTTTTGCTGTTTTCGACTTTTAGTGAAAGAATGCAGTATAGCCTTATCGACTTTTTATTACTACCTGAGTATGCTTTCACGTGAAACTAAAATTATGGCTGAATACATAGTAGGAAACTCGCTGTTACACTGTCCTTCTATGACAAGAACGCATCAAAGCAGCTAGTGTCGATAGCAATTACATCAAAATAAAATTGCTACGAATGCCCGTCTAATGGTTTCACTTATAGCATACCCAGGAACCGTGGAACAAATTCTACCGTAACTACCGTTGTCACATGGGAACAAAAATGTTGCTACATGACGTCGTCTTGTATTAGCTATATGCGCGTCACAGAAACGAGATTTGATAAGATGTACGACTAGCCCTTCAAATGTGAGGCGGATACGCTGTTTGGATGGACAGACTGGTATGTGTTCGCAAACTATTACAAAGTACACAGTAAGACTCCAAGGTCACCAAGAAGGGCAAGAAAGGAAGTTATATGCACAGCCTCATGTGCTCAGTTTTGTAGCAGGCTATGATACACGTTTATTTATCAAATATTTTTACATCACCACGAATAAATTTTAATTATATTTGCAAATCTTTATGCTTCAGGGATTTATTATATAGTAGTAACAATAACAATGAAACAGTGCTTATCAAGCTGTTGTTTAAAAACTCCATAATTGAGCGTATATATGTTCTATTTGTCCATATAGAGTGCTTTCATTGCTTTGTGATCATGACCTACTCTACTGTTGTTATTCAGTATCGTCTATCACATACATACGTTGTTTCTAAAAACAATTTAGAAGGCTATAGTTGAATACGACAATACGTAAATACACAAATATTTGTTTTGAATTTTACAAAAACAATAGTTTCTGAAAAAAGTGAAAATAGAACTCAAACACAAAAAAAACAAAATATTTAAAAATAAAATACATGTGCCAAAAACATTACATTCGCATAGCTTTCTAAATTATACAACAATATATTTACGTACATTTTTTTTAACGAAATACTAGACAAAACATAGCCCTCTAAATTATACAACAAAACAAAATACTTTGTTTTAAAAAAGACCCCAATATAGAAATATAAAAACAACTAAAGAAATAAAGCAATTCTACTTATATACGTCATACATAAACATTTCCAAATATGTGTTGATTTATTTTTAGTTTGTTTTGTTTTGTTTTGTTATTTTTTTTAATACAAAACAAACAAACAAACAATAGTATTTATTTATTTTAAATACAGAAATCAGTGACTGTACATCCTAAATATATTTACTTACTGTCCTGTCACATATTCATAAAACAATTGATTTAACTAAATTACATAACATATAGTCTTCTGAAAATTGAACAGATATGGTTAATGGTCGAGATTACAATTTAAATGCGCATTCGAACACGAACCATACAAGGGATGGCATAACAGTGAGACTTTATATATCTCATAGTATTTGTGTATGAGCAACAGTCTAACTTCGCAAGGTATGACGGTTTGCAAGTCGATTGACTTTATTTTACACTTGCTAATGAAACGAATTTCACGCGTGTCTATCATCACACGAGACCCTTAGTTTGAAATAAATTATCGTATACCTTTATGTCTAATTTGTAGAGATACCTGAGTTTATACTAGAAAGCTCTATACACACCTGGATACATTTACTTTAATATATTCATACATCCGTGCGTATAAATACAATAATTTGAACTCCTCACAAACCCATGCATGCACACATAAAGGCACGCATACACACGCAATAATATATATATATATATGTGTGTGTCTGTGTCTGTGTCTGTGCGCGTGTGTGTGTGCGTTTGTATGTGTTTGTGTGGGTGTGGGTGTGTATGTATGTGAGTGTATGTTTGTTTGTGTGAGTGTGTGCGTATAAAGGTATGAATTAAGGAGTTGTTTTTACATATGGATGAATGATACATATATATATATATATATATATATATATATATATATATGTAGGTATGTAGATGTATATATAATATATATTATATATGCTTATATATAATTATATATCTATACATATATATGTATATAATATATATATATATATATATATCTACATACCTACATATATATATACATATATATATAGTTATATATATTTTTACATATATATAACTATATATACGTATATATATATATACATATATCTGTCTATGTATATATATATACATAATTATATATTTATATATTCATATATATATATACATATATATGTAGGTATGGAGATGTATATATATATACATATATATATATATATATATATATATATAAATGTAAATGAATACTCAAATATATACGTATGTATAATTATATATATATATTATGGATGTATATATATATATTGTTTGTATGTATGTATGTCTGTATATATATTCATATATAAGTGTGTGTGTGTGTGTGTATTGGTAAACATATATTTTTATACTGATAGTATATTTATTGTATATATCTGTTTACATCTATATTTCTATAGATATATATATATGTGTCTGTGTTTGGATCTATCTATCTTTATACTTGTATATATGTATATTTATATATATATGTGTGTGTGTCTGTGTATGTAGGTATGTACATGAGTATACATATATATATATATATTCATATATTTACATATATATATTCATATATTTTTATGTTTATATATATATATATAGTGACAATAGTGACACTATTTAAACACATCTGAGGAAAAGGTATCTCGTCAGGGATTGGGGCAGGTCATATTTAAATCTTTATATATTTATATCTATCTATGTGTGTGTGTATATATATATATGTGTGTGTGTGTGTGTCTGTGCGTGTTGTTGTATGTATATGTAGATGTGTATATGTGTATCCAAATATAATGTCCGGGCTGCTGTACCTGGATTTGGAGGTTGTGCTGTTCTCATCACTCTGAGAATTAGTGCGTTTAGGTTTAGATCTCTTGCGTGTGCTAGTTTCACTGGCAATTCCGTCACCAACATCACGCCCTGTCCTGATGCGTTTTACATGTTTGCATGATCTGCAGCAAGCATGCAACCGCATCAGGTCAGTCCGTGATGAGGCGACTATAATATATATATATATATATATATACTATTTCTATATGTATATGTATGTATAAATATATCCATATATATGATGTATCTATCTATCTATATGTACATATATGTGTGTATATATGTACATATATGTGTGTATATATGTATATATTATATATATATGTGTGTGTGTGTGTGTGTTTGTATATACTTATATATATATGTGTGTGTGTGAGTATGTGTCTATATTGATATTTATATATATAGATGTGTCTGTGTATTAAAATATATATATATATATATATATATGAGTGTGTGTGTGTGTATGTATGTATGTATGCATATATATATATATATAATATAAATAAATATATATGTGTATACGCATATATAAATTATCAATCTTCTTATCTCCCGAATATAGGTAACATCGCCATTCACAAGAAGCTTAGGAAATATAGGATCCGAATCACGCTTGAAGCTCAATATTATGATGGCACCCATGGATCCCGCTCACACACATACTCGTACGTCCCGGAATACTACCTGTATAACTACCGGTGTGAACACTTCGGATGTTCGCATAACGCGGAAGTTCTCTCCCCGTGTATGCCAGGTGCAGCCTGTGGTTTCAGAGGAGACTGTATCCGTGCGGAAAGGCACCGGAGCGTTGTCACCGCTGAAAATGATACTAGAACACAAATACCTGGGTATTAATACAAGCGGGGGAGGGAGGCGTAAGGCGCATATAGATGATGGTATACGGCCTATGGACCTGGACGAAGACACCTCAGCCGGGAGTGTAGGTAAAGTGGGTGCGGAGGGGAAGGCGTGTGACCGCAAGGTAGTGAAGCCCCACCCACACAAGCGCAGAGCTAATCCGCACAAACGAGTGCTACGGTCGCGCAAACGGCGGGTAGTACAACCTAAGACAACCCAAACACCCGAGCACGCACAGGAGGGTACACATTTGGGCACACACGCACAGGTTAGCACGCACGAAGTACCTACACGCGGACAGAAACGTAGGAGGATGACGGTCACAGAGGGGGGCGATAGTGATAATACAAGTGAAGTGTGTAGACGCATCTCAAGATTAACTATGTCACAGTTGCTGACATACGAGGGTGGGACTGGGCCGAAGAAACGGTCATTGATTGGTCTGAAGGACAATACCCCGGCGACTGAGCAGAAGAAGCGCAACTTACGAGAGCCTAAAACCAGTACTCTGGAGCGGCATGATATAATGAACACTAACTACGACACGAAGGAACACAAGCATAACACACGGGAAAGCAAGCATGCTGTTCCGGACGGTGGACGTGTGGCATCGTATAGTAAACAAAGTGCCCGAGAGGAACGCCACCACACACGCGAGAAGAAGACTGACGCTCGAGACCACCTGCACAACGCACAAGACGTCCTGCAAGCCACGCGAGAAAATGCAAGTAATACGAACAAGTGTAGTCACGCACAAGACGTCCTGCAAGCCACGCGAGAAAGTGCAGGTAACACACACAAGTGTAGTCGGTCGTCTCGGAAGTGCCGAATCATCGCCCAGGCTGTGGGGTCTGGCGCGGTTGAAGAAGTGGGTGTGCCACGGGACAGGAAACCGAGTAACACGCAGAGCAGATCGGCGTCTAAAGAGAACAGTATGCGCGACAGTACCGGCCCTCCAACGGCACGTGCTTGTTCCCATGACAACGGGGAGGGGTTTATGACGGTCGTGTGCGCGTACGAAGGTTGCCGGAGGAAGTTCGGTACTCAGTCCGCCAGAGCTGAGCACGTGCGAAAAGATCATAGGCACGAACTGACAGTCAGAGGTGTAGCAGACAGGTCACCCCACCAGGAGACCGAGAGCCTGGTTTCTGAACCAAGTTTATATCAGAAACTCAATATGACAGCCGGTGGGACCAATATCCCTGTGCTAGTATAGAATACAGTTGCCTCCTTCGACGTGTCGGCGTGTATTGGACTGAGTGTTTATTGTTCAACCGGTCCGAACATCGCACAAGGACTACTATGGTGACGGTGAACCCGATTTATACTTTTGGACAGTGGACCGATTGCATCGTATGGAGATACCGTAAGTTATTTGACAGGTCACAGGATATTCTGGAAAGCAGGCGAAACTGCCAATAGGTATTATGTGTATCCATTTGCAATTGACAGTGGTATTCTTAACGTGATGGGAACACTTGATAGATGGTATCTTCAACAACTATACCAGTAAGCAAGAAACAATATACATTTGTCAAAGTGTAATGACAACACAATTTTCCAGTCGTTTTTCTTTATTTGTACATTTCGGCGATTGGTGTTGTCGTGTATGCGTACGCTGTCCGTGTAGGCCTGTGCATGACCGGGCCAATATAATTGCCAGCTGCGTATCTGCATACTTTATTCACGCCGCTATACATATGAACATACTATGGCTCTCAAGCCATTCTTTTGCTTATTTACATTTGAAATTTGTTACCCAGCCCTGATGGTTTCAAATTCCATATATGCCCTTTCTTGTGTACTTTTGCCTTTCAAAATGGGCATCAAGTAAGTTGTCAACCCGATTTCATGATGGACAAGCATCCCCACTACACCGCCAGCATCATCCAGGTGAGTTTCTACAGCCGTCTCACACTTTTATGCGAAGGGGGGTAGATGGATTGGTGTAGTCCAGCTCGCATCGGATGACTCTGAAGATCTTCTTTGGTGATGGCCAAACCTTGTGGAGTAGTCATCTATTTATGCTGACCGATGCGACTGTAATGAATTAAGGACTGTCAGCTTCGTAGTGTACGTCCCCGTGCGCTACTTTGCATAAAGTAGTGGCCAATAAACTGCAGTTGTATGGACTATATCTAGGGGCTTGTTGGAAAGTTTTCGACCCTGGCACGAGTGGTGTGCACTGACGTATATATATATATTCATATATATATATATATATAGATATATATATATATTCATATATATATATATATATATATATATATATATATATATATATATATTCATATATATATATATATATATATATACTAAACCCTACACCCTATATATATATATATATATCTAAATATGTGTATATATATACATATATATATATATATATATTAAAAGCACATACCTTTCTATATATATGTATATATATATATATATGTATATGTATGTATGTAAGTATGTATATAATGATAAATATGTATGTATATACATATATATATATATATATGTGTGTGTGTGTGTGTATAAACATATATATATATTTATATATATGTGTGTGTGTGTGTGTGTGTGTATAAATATATATATACATGTATATATATGTATGCATATATATGTATATATATATATATATATATATATATATAGATGTATTTATATATATATATATCTATCGATATATACGTGTATATATATATATATATTTATACTAATCCTAATCCTATATATATATATATATATATATACTAAACTCTACACGCTATATATATATATATATAGGGTTTAGAGTATGTATATATATATATATATATAT